CTTATTGCTTTCCAGAACTACAATAGCAACACTAGTTGTTTTGCTAGTGGAGCAGACACTTCTAACCTTCCATAGTATCTGAGTTCTCTCCAAGGTTTCAGTTTAGTTTGTGTTACTTAATCTTTAGTATCCTGTAGATGTTATATGGGCTGTTATTTGTCTTTTCCTTTTCCCCTTAAGCTAAATTATTGTCATTCTTTCCTCATCTTAAGAATGTTTTGGTCCCAAGTGTTTCCCTGCATGTTTCAAGATTTTTTCAATAAAAGTATATATTGAGATAGTGTGAGTCCTCACGAGAAGACACTGAATTCTTCATTGATAATACCAATAATGTAAAAAACAAATCCACTTAAATGTACTTTGGTTGTCCTACTTCTTTTTTGCTAATAATGCAAATGAAATATAATACAAATGAATAGAACAAAAGTCTGAAATTAATACACAATGAATTTGTTAAGAAATTGAGATGCAATTATAATGAACTAACTTAAATTAAGTGATGTATTTCCGGTTAAATTCGTAGGTAAATACATGACCCTCTTTAAACAAATAGAAAACTCAAAATAAACAGCAGTTAATCAATACTTCTACAGTTAAAACACTCTTCAAATATATGTAAAAAGTTAAATCACAAAAATACTGAACTTCGAGGAAAATTCAAACGGAAAGTCCCTTATCAAATGGCAAAATCAAAAGCACAAACATATCGAACGAATGGACAACAACTGTCATATTCCTGACTTGGAACAGGCATTTTCTTATGTAGAAAATGGTGGATTGAACCTGGTTTTATAGCGCTAAACCTATCACTTGTATGACAGTCGCATCAAATTCAATTATATTGACAACGATGCGTGAATAAAACAAACAGACATAAAAGGTAAAAATGTCAAAATAACTTTCATCTTTTAATCTATAACCATATTAACTCATATATATTAATGTTCTAATATATTTGCTTACATGTTACTTAAAAAATGTTGCAGATTGTTTTTTAAAAAGATATCAAATGGACGTTCAAAACTCACAAGTCAAAAGAAAACCGGGGGAGGGTTTAGCGCTCACAAACATGTTTAACACCGCCACATTCTTTATGCTTTGTGCTTGTCCCAAGTCAAGAGCCTGTAGTTCAGTGGTTGTCGTTGGTTCCTGTCTGTCATATTTGTTTTTCGTAAATTGTTTTGTTATACATAAGGCCATTCGTTTTCTCAATTGAATTGTTCCATATTTTTCATGTCGGGGCCTTTTATAGCCGACTATACGGTATGGGGTTTTCTCATTGTTGAAGGCCGTACGGTTGCCTATAATTGCTTACATCCACTTCATCTGAACTTTGGTGGATAGTTGTCTCATTGGCAATCTTACCACATCTCCTTATTTTTATACAAATGACAATCATTCTGCACAATACAAGACAGAACAAAACGTTCTGAGCAACACGAACCCCTTAAAAAACCGGAGGTGAGCTCGGTAGCCAAATATGGAATAATGATTTTTTTTTTACCGAAAAATGAGTTTCATGAGTCCGGGTAATCGATGCCATCATGAGATCTGTTTGTGTTAACCTTACGACATGTCACATATATGCTGTTTAAGACTATCTCATTTCTGAAGTACTTACTGCTGTCAAAATGGTTTGAAACTAAGTAGAAAGCAAAAAAAAAAACAAAAAAAAGAGATACAAATGTATCACAATTATCCAATCAATGTTATAATAATATTTATAATAAAACTATATACATGTATAATGATTCCTCGGCTTTTTTCATATTTTTTCCCGCCGCTCGCGTCGCAATGAATATAGTAATATATCCTTTGTTCGTCCTTCTGCTCGTCAATCAGACTTTCAATTCGTTAGTTGGAAACACAACAAATCAAGATCGCGAAAGATTGCATACCTAGAGGGATTATTTGTCATCATATAATCGTGAACATACTATACCATCAGCTTGATTTGAAAACTTTAACAAAAGTTATGGGACTTTGGCCATTTATTGGACTATTGTAAAATAATGATACCTTGTGAACGCATAATCTATGATACTGTTTGAGTTCGACAAAAAGCACACACATCCCTCGGATTTCAAATGTTTGGCATTGAGCGTTCCTGATGAAGGTAAATCCAGAAAAGCGCTTCGGGCGCATGACATTATTTAACGTGTTGTTTTCAATTTTTTACATCACTGGGTCGATACTTCTGCTGGTGGACTATCAGTCCCAGAGGGTATCATCAGCTCAGTAGTCAGTACTTCGGTACTGACTAAATTTATAACAAACTTTTCTAAAATTGTCCGTTTATAAATTTTGAAATTATAAAGAAACTAAGGTTTCAGCTCCCTCAGGCAAAGTTGACCTTAGATGAATTTGGCTATTTGGTTTAGGTATTTTTGTTATATAGCTCTTCAACTGTTTCGGTACTTATACATTCCTCGGATTTCAAATGTTTGGCATTGAGCGTTCCTGATGAATGTAAATACAGAAAAGCGCTTCGGACGCATGAAATTATTAAACCTGTTGTTTTCAATTATTTTGGTATGTCTGTTTGCCATGATATGTACATGTAGCTGATAATATTTGAACGTCATTGTGCATATTTTTACGAGAGTTGGTTGACTTGACTTTACTATCCTACCACAATGACTACTTATCACCACAACTCCTTTGATACCCTTTGACAGAAAATATAGATAGATATTAATATATAGATAATTTTGTTCAAATGTTCGTATCAATTATCATAATCATATTAATTTTATGTCGATTGGTTAACCTGTTTCAGATGACGCCTCTTTATTTATTTTATTAATTCGTTCGTTTGCTTTTAACTCGTGCATTCGGTGTGCTTATCGTCCCCGCTGCTCTCGCCTCATGAGGTATAGTTATAGTGTTTGTTCGCTTGTTTTTCCGCCCGTCAGTCCAAAACGCATCAGAATTCAGAGATCATTTGACAAAAATAGGAATATTTGTCATTAAATTCTCTTGACTGTAATATACCGTTAGTTTGATTGAACAATGTTTACGAGGGTTATTGGCTTTAATTATTTGTTGGACTATTGTAACACTTTGACGCGTTGTAAACGCAAATCGAGTTTATCAAAAAGCTTGCATACTTAGTAAAATTGATTATCATCAAATGTAGTTGTCCATACAGTATGCATTTTTATATTATCATTTTAGTGGAATTATTTGACTTTTTGGCAAATATTCTACCACAATGACACCTTATGAACGTAGCTCCTCTAATAACCTGGGACCGAAAGATCCCACACATGGTAGATTGTTTGCCATCATTTGAAGTTGACCAAATTTTTTATATATAAATGCTTACATCCACTTTATTTGAACTTTGGTGGCTAGTTGTCTCATTGGCAATCATACCTCATTACTTGGTTTATGATCAGTGGTACATATGATTATTATATTCATACTCAAAACGACTGGAGGTAATGACATTTGTACAGAAAAACAGTACAATTGTTCTAGACAAAACCTATAAGTGTAACACACAATAACAATTAAAATTAACTTTCCTCCGCTTCGGGTAGGTGAAATGGTATAATTGAGCAAATAAACGTGCAATGCCTTAGTTCTATAAAAAAATCTTTAAATGTATCGACTAAGAACGGGGGATTTGGATAATCGCCAAAAACTGTCTTTACCCAGGCAAGTCAAACATAATGAACAGGGTTAGCCTTGACTTTTATGGGGAGTAAAATTGAAACCATCTTGTGATTAAGTTTTAGTTTTCAATCGAAATTCAATGTCAATTGCCGTGTTTAAGTGAAGATAGGAGTCATCCCTAACTGTACTTTGGTATACTTTATATCAAGTCCAATGCGATAGATTCTATATACAAAGGACACAAACTTGTATAACTCAGTTAGAAGATATCATCTTTATCTTTATAAATAACATTTAACATAAAACTTAATAGAAAACAAAAGATTGAGCTCCGCAAACCTCACTGTAGGTATAATTTTGATATTCCGTTAGGGAAAGCAATCCCTTGTCCTATAGCGTCACTCATTATGTCGCTTAAGACAGGAAAAATCCTGTGACAAGTCGCATTATGTGTTGTCCAATCGAGGATAAGAGGACAAAATTACGTCAACGACAAGTTGCGCACATCCGCGGTCATATATGACACAAATATTTTATTTCGTTCAAGCAAAATTTGATGGGGTACATTAAATGTCGAAGGGATGACTTGAACTTTAGCATTTAGAACCCTAGTATCAGAATCTGTTTAAGGTATTTGGTCTTCAAATTATTTTTCATTATATTCCGGGTAGAAGATAGCACAACGTTGTATAAAAGAATAAGACATATAATTTGGCTCATAAAATGTACATAGAAAAACGTTATCTACTGTTTATCAAATGTAAAAGAAAATAGCGAAACTTTAATCACGATGTCTCGGTCTTATCTGCAATAAAGTTGGCTGCATCATCTTGCTTTGTTGTTTCCTAGCAAAGCATTGTCAAGTTTTACTCTCGCTAGTAAACTGTTTTAGTCTGAAACGGTTATTTTGATCTTAACAGCATCTAAAAAGTCTGAAAAATAACTCATTAAGTCATGTTCAGCTTTTCAGTTAATTTTCAGTCTTATTCACTGCGTAAACTCAGTACTGTTCAGACAATTCGCTTGCTGTCAATTTAGTACTATTCAATAGCACTTAAGACATTCAGTATGATGTTAATGTGAACATGTAAATAGCATCTAATGAATATGGTCTGAACAGATCCTAATTGATTGCAAGAGAAATGTATCAACAGTACTGAATTTACTGTAGTGGACAAATCCGAAAACTGACTGAAAAATGAAAATGAGGTAATAATTTATTGTTCGTCTTTCAAGAGTTGTTCAGATCAAAATAACCGTTTCAGTTCACAATTGGTATACTGGTGATGATTTTTTCTATATACATCTTTCAAGTGCTAGAAAAATAAATATTATCTTGTCACCAGATATGATAAGAGTTGCTTTTCAATTTTTTTTATTTTTTTTTTGGGGGGGGGGAGGGGTTTTTTTTATGCTTCGCTCCCAATAACCGCTGGTAATTGCTGGTAACTGAGAGCTGTTACTGAAAACCTGAATATAGGGAAAATAAGTAATGTCTTTATCAATACATGCATTATTACCTATAGACAAATCAAATATCTACAATAGAATGAATATTGATATACTGTACAATCTGAGATTATTATGCGTAAACGGTAAATAATTATGCATAGTGCATGACGACATATACATGTATATACAGTCCAGTCAAGGATACACCGACATTAAATGCCCGTAAAATATCTCACACATTAGTAAGATGAGTCACTTAATTCAATTGATGATGAAAAAATTATATGTTCTTACTGCATTGCTTGTTCACTTCCTGTGCAAAATATAATATGCTGTATATTTGGTCAGAAATGAAATAGCTGCGATGTGATTCGAACTTTGACAACATGGTAAGTTTTGAGTGCATTTCAAATAAATCACTATGAAAGATTTATGATTTTCTGCAACAACCAATTTGAATGACTACAAGCAATGCATAGTATTTTGTCTGAACATATTTTGAGATATTTATGGTTCCTAAAGACTTTTTTAAACGATTAGTTGGTCTTTGGTTTCACAACTTGGGCTGCTTTTAAATTATGTGATCCTATTTTTGAAAACTTTTCCTGCAATTGTAAAGTATGTTTCTCAACAATATCTGAAACGTCGATTTTTATGTCAGATTCTGTCTCAGTGCATTCCAAATCTGAAATTTTATCAGCTTCATGCATTATGTTCTTACTTTTAACCTCGTTATTTCCTGAAAAAAAAAGATAATACGATTGTTAAAGGTATCAGAATATCTCAAATAAATAGATGCATTGTGAGATGTTCGTTGAAAGTTAAAATCTAAAATAAAAACAATAAATGACGAAATTTATAACACAATCGCAGAAAAACCACTTAGATCAGTTTGTACTATTCATTTCAATAACATATCATCAAAGTGCAGTGCATTATCGGAGAAATGTTTATGTATTTATTAAAATGGGAAGCTTACTTGTGAAATGCGCTTTTAAATCAATAGATATTTTTTTGGTTTTAGAAAAACTCTTTCAGACAAAGTTAACCATCAAATAGCTTGGCCGTTTGCTTAAGACCTTCCTTGTTAACGTCATATATTTATGATAATACATTTTGTTTTGATCTTATTTTTTCCGATGAGTGTTAAAAAATTAGTATAATATTTCTTAAACCATTGTCGTGGCGTCAGCCTATTCATTTACCGTGGATTCTTTTTCTAGAATCAACGCTTTCTAAATCTGTCGCTGAAATGGATTCACCAAATTATATTCAATTGCTTCCTTTGTGTGCCTAATATCATTAAGTTTGAATTAGCTAATTTACTGATTTCTGTTCACTAATGGAACTAATTTATAAACTTACCTTTAATTTTTGTAATTTTTGTAATCCTTCACTGGGAATCGAACCCGTTCTTGAAATCTGTTATGTGTGACTGACATCAACATATCGACGAAACCTCTCGGCTACCAATTGGTTACAATTTAAATGTCTATTGTATATATATAAATGAACATATGATATACAACGGACACACAGGGCTTTTACCTTTATATATACATAATAGGCAATCGTATAGTATAAGTTGGTAGCCGCGAGGTTAGCATGGTTAAGATTAATGAGTTAAAGAGTCAAGTTAAAGGTAGGGACTTGTCGGTTTAGGTTCGAATCCCTGTATTCTCTTTGTTGTCCCTATTCTTTAGTTTTTCTGTTTTTTTCTTATTTTGTATGTAATTGTGGATATTTTTGTAATAATAGCGAGTTTTACGGTTTATTTTTGGATTATTATTGGCTATTTCACATATTTGAAACGAAAATGATTACATTCAATTTGTCCATTTTTGTTTTATAAGTATAGTAAGATTTCATCTGTTTTACTACACAATTTTACAAATGTTTATTCGCAAATTCCTATGCGAGTAAATCGTCATGTGCCTAGAATTATGCTTCTTGCTAGAAATTTCGGTAACATACTTATACTTTATATATGCTCTTTTGTCAGGTTGTTGTCTCTTTGACACATTCCCCATTTCCATTCTCAATTTTATTAGAAATTAGTTCGAATATGTCTTATTTTGTAACACAGATAATATTCAGATGCCTGATATTTTAAAGGCAGACGTGTTGTGTTATATTTGTATTTATCTAACCAGATAGTTGTGATCTTATATTTAGTAATGCATCGTTGAACATGATACCATGGTTATTTAAACTCACTTACAATACCTTCTAATTAAGAAAAGGCCTTGATTTTGAAAATACATTAACACAATAGTTTAAGTTATAGATACAATGGATAAGCGTTGATTCATGAAAAACAAACCATTCTCCCTCCGGGCTCATGGTTTCTTTTTCAAGAATCAACGCTTATTCATTATATCTATATTACAGAGATTCTGATTAAACCGTTATGTCTAATTTGCTATCACTAATAATGCGATCTTTATTATTTATTAGTTAAAGCTGAAAACGTTATTTTATCATCAAATTGTAAAATAAAAATTATCATCTGTGACACTCACTCTTGAACATATATTTTTCCCTTTAATCTGAGACGTACACCTTAAACTGCAACCAGAAATGCTCAATACTTTATAAAAAGTATCCTTGATCTCTATTTACATTAAATATTACCATTTCTCAGTTTATGGCAGATATTCTGAAACCACTTTATAATGATATAAAATCAAGGTGTAAGTTGAGAAGGTACGTTAAAGTAAAATATATTCGACTTGATCCATACACTTTGAGTCAATAGTCGAGTATATCACTTGGAAAGTTGTAATTGTTTTGACACTAAAGATCAAGAAAGTCCAGGAGTTGAGTCAGCTTTCAAGACTGATTGATATTTTGTTAGTTTGTTTTAGCTACATATTTCGTGATTGTTGTTCATTTTCATTTCTCAATTTGATTGAAAAATTGGCACGAGCTTTTCTTAGCTATAGAATTTCAAAGTTCCTAACGAAATTGAAATAACCACCAAACGATTTACAAACAAGACTTTCAACTGCATGCAAATGTAACTAACTAAACGTTTTATCGTGTGAATTTCTTATCTGTTATACCGTTATTTTACAGATGCTTTTTGTGTTTTTATCACATGTTTTATACACTTTGTTAATCTACTGATGCCTCTTGTCTATTTTGTCGTTGAATAGCTAACTCATTGTAGGATGCCCAATATCTGCTTTTATTCATATGATAATTGTATCGATTTAGTTTCTATTTTTAAATTGATTTTGTGTATTTGTACTATTATGAGCTCATCATTGAGACTAACATAACTTACTTTAAACTAAGACTGCTTAGAATACAGATGTTAGTTAACATATATCCAGGGGTGTAAAAAGACAACAACTGGAGGTTTGTTTTAGCTCCAATCGCAGTGAAACTAGGTACGTTATAAGGGGGAGCATATCTTACCTTGCGAGTTAAAATGTTTGTTGTAAGTTGAAAAACTTGAAAAAACTGTAACATTCAACAAATTGGTAAAATCTAGTGTTGAAAAGTGATTATTTCAGTCGGTCTATTTGATAATCTTGCTGGAGACATTTCAAACCTCAGGTAAAGTTGACCTTTGTTGAATTTGGCTACTTGTAATTGGTAGTCTTTTTTATTTGTCATATAGCCCTTAATGTGTCTCTTCGTTTACACACCCCTCACTTTCAGATGTTTAGGTTTGAGCGTTTCTGAGGAAGGTAAATCCAGAAAACTCTTCGAACGCACAAAGTTTATAAAGTGTCTTTTTCACTTTAAGTTCAGATTGTACTAATTGTATGAAACTAGCGTCCTTGCACACGACAGTAACCCTGAATAACCTCCCTTAAGTAAGTAGACTCGGAAAAAACGTTTTGAAAGCCAAAACCGCTTCAGATGAATAAAAACCAAGTAGACGTAAACAGTCTTGCGTCACGTTTTTTTGGGGGGATTACAACCTAGATGAGTATACTATGGCATACTGTGTCAACTGAAAAAACGTGAACCACATAATCAGGTGCAATGGTCAAGAAAGTGAAATTAACTGTAGGAAAACGGAAATCATAGCGTTTGTCATAGGTTCTAGTATGAAGTTGATCATCAACGCTTGTTTTCAGGGATATAAAACTTAGATATGAAACAGACCAATTTGTTTCTATACTATTCCCAATTTTAAAAAGGTGTATTTCAGTGAAGGGCAATCATAATAATATCATCTTCACTCTTTGCTTTTGTTCCATTTTGATTCCCAGCAAATTAAATTGATCCCGCCTTATTGTGTCCATATATGACAGTCGATTTTGTTGAAATGTTCAACCTTGATTTTTTTCATTACAGTCTAGGTGATGACGAAAAGACAACCTGCAAAATCTACCAGCACCTTCCTGAATTCGCGGTTTCAAAAATAATTCATTGTGGGGAAAGAAAGTCAGACATAACAGGCAAAAAAGGTATTAGATTCAAACTAGCTCAGAAAAGAAAGTAAATATATATGTAACGTGTATTGTCACAAATGTCTTGTATGAATGTATGGTCCACTATCCATTAGACTCCGAAATTTCAGATACTTTTTGAAATTCAATAATTTTCCAGTATCAAGGTCAAGGCTTACATTATATAATTCAAAAGTCTTTTTGTCTGATTCTATTAAAATTGTTCCGGTGTGTGAAACTCTCTACTTAACACTAAGGGTATACTATTACTCTATTAATTTTGTAGAATCTGCCAAGTCAATATAACATGTTATCTATTTGTATTTGTTTACAAAAATAAAAGAACATACAGAAGAACACACCAAACCACATGTTCACTTGTAAAACGTGTGTATGTCTTAGTATGTGGTTGTTGCCTTTGTTTTGTTTTATTTCACCCTTTAAGTATGAGCATCTAAATAAAAGACATCATGAAAGAAAAATGTTAAATTAGTCTAGTTAATTCGTCCTTTGCAGATTTTCACATGCCGTTATATAAAATATCAACTTGAATATATTATTGAAAGTTACCTCGAACATAAACTCAAATTCTAGCAGTTATCAGTCCTTAACTGAATATTTTGTTTTCTAAGCCTTTTAGATACAGTGGTTGAGTATTAAACTTTTGCAAATATATATACAAAATATACCAAAACTTTGACGTTGCTGTGGTTATATTTCAATATTCTTTACATTATGGCTTTTTCCTTGAGAAAAAAATCATGAACTTTGATTTTTTTCAAGTCATTCATTTTATTGTACCCTGGGCAGTTGGGAAGTATGTCATTTCTAATTAATTTTTCTTCTCGAGGTGGGTATTTAACTGGGGATAAAATTCATGGTAAAAAATGTTATTTATATAGAATCGTTTTCATAACAGCGTAGACAACCGTAAAACTTTTGTTGATTATAATACTGAATGAGTTACCTTTAACTTGTTTGTCATTGGCTATCGATAACAATGATTTTACGCTCACTCAGTCTGTCAGAGGCCTTCCAGTGGGGATTCAAATAATGATCACTTGTTACACATTTCGATACATAAAATGAAACTTTCTTTTCACAACACTTTAAAATATTTGTTTTAAATATTTGTTTATACCATCACATACAACAGTTTCATTTTAAAGAATAATAATGTTCAGAGCTGATATCATTAAATAATCCAAAAATACGTTTATTCATTGTAAAAAAACTTGAAGTTCATGGGGTTAATTCACAAAATATCTTATTGATTACGAGAAGAAGTACTTCTACGTTGTAATCATTTTAAAAGAGTGGCCTACTATTTATTCAATGCATACATTCCATTCTCAATTTTATGTAGGTTTTGTTTGTGAAAAGTTCAGGATAATTAAAAAATCATTTTATTTTTTTGTTTGTTTAATACCTTGATTTTTTTTTACATAAATCGATTCATTCATTCAGATATTTATCAGTTTGTCTTGGCTATTCAAGTCCTACACAACGTCTCACGAATTTGGTCTTTTTTTTATAAAAATTATATTCTTGTGATGTATTCTTTTGCTGAAGAATGAATGTTGACCCTTTTTTATTTTTTGTCGTTTTTTTTTTTTTTGTGTCTCATTGACATATAAGACAACCGGACTACCCCTTTCTTCATATTTAAAAACATACGAGTGACATCAATACCAATTCATGACACAAAATAACTAAGTTAAACTTACAACAGAAGAAAGATAATGAACATGTTATGGTCTACTTAATATCGAAGTCAAAATGTGGTCTTTGTAAAGATGTTGTAAATTAATCAAAAACAACAAAAAACAAAATAATTTGAATGTTTATATTGGAAAAAGTAACGTTGTGTAAATCATTACAATTATTTTATTCCAAATGAATATGAAGCTGTTGCATTTTTCCGCTGGGGGCAAATTTTGACTTTTGACCGCATTTTTAAAATTAATTTTCTTGCTGTAATCCTGTTGGAAGCTGCGCTGTGTAGTTTATTTTTCGTTTATTGTTTATTGCAAATATAGTCAAGACAGACAAACAAAGTTTGAAAGGTTACATGTTAAAATAGAGAATGGAAATGGGGATTGTTTCAAAGAGACAACAACCCGACCAAAGAGTAAACAATACAGCCGAAGGCCACCAATGGGTCTTCAACACAGCGAGAAAATCCCGCACCTGAAGGCGCACTTCAGCTGGCCCTTTAACAAAAATGTGTACTAGTTCAGTGAAAATGGACGTCACACTGAACTCCTAAACAAATAAATGAACTAAAATTAAAAAACATACAAAATGAAGACTAACAAAGACCAGAGGCTCCTGACTTGGGACAGGAGCAAAAAATGCGGCGGGGTTAAACATGTTTAGTGAGATCGCAACCCTCACCCTATACCTCTAGCCAATGCAGATTAAACAAACACACAGCAATACACCGCTACATATTGTGCCAAATTCGGGCTGGGAAGGGTGCATGTTATACTGATTTAACCCACTGGATTGTGTGCCTGCATCATTTCTAGCCAGGGAGGGGTTGCATGTTAAACTGCATTAGCCCACTAAATTTTTAGCCAAACGTCCGGCTATCCGGGTTTTGTGTTGTTAATTGTTGATTAAACGTCTATTTTACTATATATTTATGGACAGGACTCGATGGTCTTTGTTGTTGTGGTCTCTTAATTTTCTTACCTTTTATCTTTTTATGTATTATTGTCGTATAACAGATTTAAAGCCGTTTAATTACGAAACTATCTGCAATTTAATTGTAACACTCAGAAACGTGTCCTTACCCCAAACGTGTCCGATTCCCCCAAACGTGTCCACATGACGTCACTGAACTGCAAAACATATCTAAATGTAAAAGGGCGCCAAATCGTGTCATTTTTATCAACGTCGAATCGTGTCCATTTTTATACTAACGCCCAAACATGTCCAATCTCACAAACGTGAAAGCTCAATCGTGTCCATATCATAAAAATACTCCTTTTACTATTTCATTGCAAATTGAAATATAGTCCTTTATCAAACTAATAGTATAACCCGTGCCGAAGTGGGGCCTCCGTTTGGCTGTGCGGGATGTAAAAGTACACAGCCATGTCATGTTATAATGTTGATATTAAATCAGATACCTCGTGTAGGGAGAATGCCCTATCTCTGCACATTAAAATCCTTGTAACAACGCTTTAAGGATGGCGTCGGTGATATGCTGCAAGGCAACATTTTTGTCCCTATCCATATACCCATATTATCTAGTGGCAGTTAGAATTTCCCCAACTTTTATTTCAAACGCCCTCTATTATATAAGGGGGAATGAAGGAGTATCATACTGAAGTCCCGAAAAAAATAAAGCGGTCTTTCCCCGCTCTCAAAAATTATTATTTAATTCCAAGTCCCGATTAGTGCAAGTGTCTATTATAACCTTACAAATTTAGACCGAATCCCAAATTCTCGGAATAATGGCACAATCCCAAAGTCCCGGAAATTATTCTTATGGAACCTCCCTATAGTATTTGTTGTAATATGTTGTCGTCATGATAATGCATGAAATATTTTCCACTGAACGCAATGTCTCTTGTTTGTGTGTCTTTAAGCATTGTTAAGTGATTTAAAAAAAAACCGAATACCAGTTTATAATTTCAAGAGCTTTTAAAGAAACAGAACTGTTGAAAAAAAATAGAAAACACTTCTGCAGGAAGCCGGCCGTGCAATATCCTCATTCATGATTAATATAGTAAGGCATTACGGCAGTTTATTAGTACAAAATAATTTACTTCTTTCCTTTTTTAGTTTCACAGGATTTATGTCTTTTGAATGCGGCTTTTATCTTATTTAGGATCCAACAAAAACCCGACATTTTCAATGTCCCCTATTATGGAATTGCCGTAAATGTTATAGACGTCACTGAGAATATAATAGCGCTTAAAGTTTTCAGACGTTCCAGCGTTTTAAAGTGGACACATTTTACCAAATAACAATTATCGGACACGTTTAGGGCTTTGAAATCGACCACGTTTGGGCGATATCACAATTTTTAAGGACACGTTTGTGGGAATAGACACGTTTGGGGGAATCGGACACGTTTGGGGGGATGGACACGTTTGGGAGTGTTCCTAAATAAGATAAAAGTCCTAAATGTATTCAATTATAGGCAACCGTATGGCCTTCAACAATGAGAAAAACCCATACCGTATAGTCGGCTACAACAGTTCCTGACCTGAAAAATATGAAACAATTCAATTGAGAAAACCAACGGCCTAATCTACAACAAAACAATTAACGAAAAACAAATTTTCTGCTCTTTGGTCGGATTGTTGTCTCTTTGATACATTCCCCGTTTCAATTCTGAATTTTATTATAGATATAACTGCATATAAAAATTAGAATATGTGGTGTGATAGACAATCAGACAAATCCCTTCCAGTGGTCAACAGACGTTAGCAATATAGGTCACCGTGTGACCTTCAACAATAAGCAAAACACACTATGTATAGCATGAAAGCTTCAAATGGCCTTGTTATGAAAAACACGAAAGTTGAGTGGATGCAGAACAGAGCGAGTGAAAAAACATGGATACCGCATGGAAACTGGCAAATGGTCCGCAATATTACTTTGGTCAACTCACTAACTTGAATTAAAGACCTGGCGAATTTAAGTCCTTATCTATGGCTGAGATGTATGTTTAAAAAAAAGGAAAATCAAGCTTTGTTTGAACATTTTTATAATGCAAGTCTTGGTTTTAAATTATTTGCGAGTAAGCTTAAGGAGTCAATAACAAATAACCACACCCAGAAAGACGGGAAAATCCATTAACAAAAGAAAAAAATGAATATAGGAACTACAGAGCACTGCATATTATATACATAATTTATTTGCGATCATAAAATGTACGAAGTCGTCCATTACTATGTAAATTTGGTCGATTAAAAAAAACTGAATATGTTTCTGTTGCCAAGGGTTTTTCACAAGTATAGTAGTTAGCAGAAAAGTTCACCAAACTGTACATTTTACCTATTCAAAAACGTAAATGCAAATTTCACAAGGCTTGATCCAAATATCTTTTTTACTGTCTAATAACTTATAAGTACGAAAAAGACAGGACAGAAGTATATTTTGTCTATATGTTTTGTGTTTGCACACTTTTTAAAGTTGATCATGCATTCGTTCTAAAATAAAATTTTGACCAGATAAAAGTTAAAAGATGACATAAATGGACAACCGCAATTGTTAAATCGCTTTGACGTCCGAAAAAAAGATAAGCAAAAAGTAATCAACACATGCATTGTAACTTTTAAAGCCAGATAAATCCCGTTTTTGCTGAAAGAACGTGCGATATCATATGAATTGATTATCAAAACATAACAAAAACACAAGTAAAGAACGTTTAAGTATTCAATATAAATCAAAACACAAAGGTTATTCCTCATTAGTTTTTCGAATTATTTTATTTAGGCGTTGAGACCCTTTGGTGACCCCACAGTTTAAATGTCTATAATAAATACGTCATGAGTAGTGGGCGTTACAGACGAACGTTCACCTAATCTGACCCAGTCAATGGGATATTTTAGCGCGCCAATCAATGGTTTCGTCTACACTGTTATGCACACGATTCTAAACTTGATGTAAAAACCATCAAAATATATACAAAAGCATAATTGTTTTTATTTAGAATTGCAAAAGTACATTTTTAAATGAACATTGATGGTTTAATCAGGCATCGTCATGTTCCTTTTATATGTATATATGGTTTTTTGAAACATTCAAATTAATACCAACCTAATATATCTTTGATTTTTGTTTGATATTTCTCTATTACCATTACTGCTTCTGTGTGAATGTCAAACAGTGCCTCAGTTAGAAATCTGTAGTCACCGAGAGATATTTTCTTTCCTAAAGCTAAAGCGTCAAATACTTCTTGAAATTCTTTTCCAGATTCTTGAACGTCTTTTGGTAGATGATGCTTGAGTCGAATTTTTAATTCTTTCATGGTATCTGAGTCACCTTTGGAACTGCTGGAAAAAAGTCTTCGGAGTTGAATTATCATAATTGATTCTTCATCTTGTGCTTTTAATTCCACTATAAAAATATTAATGTTATGTGCTTTTAGTTCCACTATAAAAATAAAAAATGTTATAAGTATTTCATAATAAGACTCATCGAAGTTCCATAAAAGAGAGGAGGACACCTAAAAGGAAATTCAAACTCATAAATAGATGACAAACTGACAACTTCATGGCATACAAGGAAAAACCCAAAAGACAAACAAAAGTATAACAAACACAAATCATAAAAAAAAACACAAACCCCACCATAAACTAGAGGTGATCTTAGTTGATCCGGAAGGGTAAGCAGATCTTGCTCCACATGTGGCACCCGTCGTGTTGCTCATGTAAATACAATCGCTGGGATATGTCTTATTCTGTGAGGTCATATTCGAGGAAAAAGGATGTCACATTCGAGAAAAAGAGGACGTTGTTGTGGTTACGACAATTGACACATATCCGTCGACATAAATGAGACAGATATTCAATAGCGGTCAATCAACTCGTGATGGAGACCGTACAATTTTCGAAGGGATGACTTCAATTTCACCCTTGGTTTAATAATCTTTGGAAAAATTTTCAATTCGAAACGATGATAACGTTTAGTCAAAAACAAATGTTTACAAACACTTTTTGTCATATGGTTTCAGAGGAGTAGCGTTCACAGTGCATCTTATGCTACAATACGTCCAAAACTATCAATTTCCAATATATCCCAGAAGAAAATAACCCGATTAAATTGCCGATATAGCTTGGTATTTAACGAATGACTTAAAATTCGTGAAAGGTTTGATGATTTTTTTTCTGTGCAAATGTAATGTAAATGAAATGATTTTTCTTTTACGCCAATATTCACTACCGATTGTATCATTTTTACCTCGGTTATGTTCAATTTGTTTTTTAATACCAATGGGTTTATGTTTACCTGGATTATGTTGAATTCGTTTTTAATACCAATGGTATTATATTTACCTGGGTTATGTTGAATTGATCTTCATTTTAGCAAGATAAAATCTTAAACGTAGAAACGAATTCATGTTAATACCTTTTATCACATTCGGCTATAAACTGTACATGGTAAATTTAATGTTTGACTTTAAATCATTGTATACACTAATTCAAAACACAACAAAGCATTTTACTCGTGAAGTTTATAAATGATCTGCTGACTATTGAACCCGATTTGGTTATTTGTTCTTGAAACGACTAAAATTGTCAATGCTATTCTGAATTTTTCATAAAGGAAGTACAATGATAAAATAGTGTGTTTCATGCAGATATCCAAATATGTTTCCTAACGATTGGCATACATTGTCGAATGAATTTCGAGGCAGCTAATTTTTTTTAATTAATTGTGATCCTCTCTAATGCAGTTTTTATGGGAACAAATTAACATTAATGTACCATAATAAACCTATTACTGACTTATCCAGACGATATTATAAGTAAATTCATCCAGGCCAAAATTATATTCAGTGGCTCTGGTTTTTTTAATGTTCTAATGCTCTCTTTTATGAACGACCTTCAAATTATCGTGATATTTATATTTCATGAAACATATAGTTTTATGTGTAAAAAATAGTTGACAGCTATCTGTGTATCCATTAAATATTTAACTCGTTCGGATCTCCAACTTTCTAAACCAGTGAATTGATTTCAATGACATTTACCCAAAAATAATCAGTAAATGTATTTAAGCGCATTGTTCACCTATTTAATTTTTGAAACAATGTTTTTTTTTAATTCCACTAGCTTCAAAAGAGGCTGAAAATATAAAAAGGAGAATCAACACTCATAAGTTGAACAGAGGCCGACGAAATCATAACACATTAAGGCGACAGTAGTTTACCGATGTTCCAATCTCGTAAATCTATTTAGAAGAGACAAATCAGGTAACAAATAAAAGCTGAAGGAATTGCATAAACTCCAAGAGGAGCGTGACCGAGTCCTTCGACAGGGTAAGCGTCTCCTGGTATGCTTGCATCATCCACCATCCGAATCCACACTTAGAAAAAATATCATATTCGGGAATAAGACACAATCGGTATATACAGATCAAATTACTATTCTAGACTAAGATTTATGACAAATCAAATTATGTGAAATCTTTGGTCAGAATTACTTTTTCTAGTAGCGGCATACAATCTGCCTAAGACTATGACGTTCACATACATCGTTTGACTAAAGGAAGATCACATTGTGGGGATTAAGAGGCCATTCTTGTAGCCCAATGATTGTTAACTCTTAACTTGGATATGACTGGTTTGTTTTATTTGAGAAGCATATAAACTAACTTCAGAATTTTGATCTGTATATTATCAAATGAATTGGAGACTAGAACTATTTTTGTTATTCCGTCGATTGCGGGGTGTTTATACTTATATCTTTTCAGCAGTATTAAATCGTTTTGTACAACAAAAATCTTAATCATACTTCTGTTATTAAAAGTATAACTGTCAATATTTTTTTTCAAATTTAGATGATGATTATGAAAAAAGAAGTGTTCATTTTTAACCGATCAAATAGTGATCTCTATACCTGGCGGGAGACCATTTTCTAACTACAGTAGGTTTTAAAAAAGAGCACGAAATATTAAAATTTCGGCAGTTAAAAAGACAATACACAAACTCGAGAAAGAAACCTAAAATCATGTGGTCATCACATCTTGTTTGATAACTAGTGTCTTTTATTTCTACATGTTTATCCAGTGCAACTGATGAGTCTTATGTAGACAAAACGATCACTTTATACACGCATTTTATCAAATGTCACCTGCACTTAAAATCGACATTCTACATTAATATTTATCTTATCATAACATAAAATATATACGAAAGAAATTAAGAGTACTGGAAGTAACTTACTTTGTAAACTTTATAAAATGATGTCATCTGTAGTCAATTAAGGCAACAGCAGTTTACCGATGTTCAAAAACAGTAAGACGGAAGATAGTCTGGTAAACAAATATAATTTGATTAAAGTGGACCAGTTATCCAATACTATGTACTTTTGTACAGTCTGATTGTGTGCGAATAATCATTTCAATTATAACCAGGTTTTAATATTAAAGATCCTTTATGTCTTCAGGACTGATAGAGTCGACTAGGAAGTAAAAGTAGTACAAATATACATGTAAACATTGTTAAATCATTGATATCTAAAAGATATGTGACAACACCACAGGCCAAAGATATGGCAACTTTAATGAAAGTAAAACATTCTCAACTTGAAGTTGCTATTGATGAGGTTTTCAACGAATTACTGACGCACACACCTCATAAAATTTCATCTCAGGGCGACAAGGTAGAGATGCTGGCGTCAGCGCTTGAAAAAAATCAGTGTTATATTGGAAGAAAAACACCAAAGAAAGATAAACCTCTAAATTACCTTGGAAACATTTTTAGAGTAATCAAGAAAAACAAGGACTGTAGAGTTGTGTTGATAACGTGGCTTCAATCTGTAGACCCGTCATGTAAGTATTGTTAAGCAACTTTACGTCATAGTTCTCAATACAACAGTCAAAAGCCTTTTTTAAGAAATAGTGAAGACTATTTGATAATGTTCATACATTTTCTGTTTAATCGATGTTCAACAATTTGTCAAGTTGTTTTTAATCGTTCCTTTTCAATCAAATTCTTATTTCACACCGAGTTACCCATAAAATCTCAACCACACGTTCAGATGAAAAATTCTAGTCGTGTTCTAGTGATACAAAACAAGCATAGCATATAAATAGAATTAAATAAAAGGACGGTATTTAACCCTTTTATATCATTTGATTGCTTGTCAAATTGGAGAATAGCATGCCAAAAATAGAATAGTACATTCATTCTTTCTATTTATTATAATAATGACTAACATGAAAATTTGTCAACATGTTGTATTTTCTATTCAATTTACTACCCCATACGTTCGTAATTATATAATAGAGATTTTAGAGTATATAAAAGAGAGTATGCATGTCTTCAATCGGTGTTGTGTACAAAAAGCGGAAGAAAAATCTTTTGTATTCTTCTATTGTTTAACGATATACAGTCATATGCATTCACGGTCAAATTCAGAGCATGTATTTTAAGGGGATGTATATCAATGATCGATCCCATTTACTAAATTCTTTTGAACAAGCTAATTTGTTTTCGATTGAATAATTTTCAAAAACAATATGCATATTGCCTATTTATTTAGTAATTAAAAAGTGTTCCTGAAAAGAGTTGAGATACAAAAGTGGCTAAGAAAAAAATATATCGACAGGACAAATTACACCATAGAAAAAGAAAAGAAAAAAAAATAACAACAGTTTTAAGAACATTATATTGAGCTACACGCACTGGGAATGAACTAATAATCAGATGCTTTGAAAGGGTAAGAAGTAATTATACATATGGAGCATTAGCGATTCATGGGCAACTGATTGATTGAGTTCTATCATCACAAAAAGCTATATTTAAATGAACATCCCGTATGTTTCAGATACAATCTTTGAAAACTAATTGATCCTTCAAATAAACTTATTCTTAAAGGTTACAAGTTAAGGTACTGTCATAAGATCTTTAAATATTGTCTTTGTCGGTACTATAATTGATTTTGTTAGTAATAAATCATAATAAATGTTATATGTATTGCTATACAGTTATGAACATTTATGATACTACATTATGTCGCTACGTATAAACAAAACTTAGGCTTATATATGTTGGCATTGCACATGATCTTGTTTTTCTAAGACTGTTTTTGGGGTCTTAACACGAAATTCGTTGTATGCGTTTAGTCTTGGAAAACATGATGTATCTATAGTTGTAATTTGAATGGAACTAGCATTCAGTAATCGCGAATACTCTTATAGCTTGTATATATTGTATTTTTGTCGAGCCTGTGACATTTTGACGCGGAAGCGAGACACAGCTATTCTTAATATCCGCGTCGATGGCTTCAACATTTAAGTTCAGTAAGTGGTTAAAGTTATCCTTAGACATCAATAGCTTTTTTTTACTTTTACAAATTGTCACTTGGATGGAGAGTTCTCTCATTGGCACTCATACCACATATTCTTATATCTATCAATAGCTTTGTCAAATCTTCATGAAATTTTACCAAACTTTTTCATGATCAGTATCCAAATCAAAATTTTCAAAAATATCTTTTTTTCGTTTTTCCGTATTCTACTGATAAAAGAACAAGTTTTGGTTTTTTCGGGGTTTTTATTGGCAGTTAACAACAAGATAAATGTTAGAGTTAAACTTTTTTAGTCATCAACAATTATGTAAAACCTTCATAGAATTTCTTGAAATTTTAGCAAAAGCTTTTCGATGGTTAAGAGATAACGTTTGAAACAAAATTTTAAATTGATTTTTTTCCCTATTTCCGAATTTTACTAATAAATGGACTTTTTTAGATACAGTCTGGGGTTAACACATTTTTAGACATTAAGATCTTTGTCAACCCTTCAAGTTCTTATAATTTATGAATCTTTGCAAAACAATGTTTTATGATAAAAAGATATTGTCAGAAGCAAAAATTTGAAAATATATATATTTTTTTAATTCTTTTTTTTTTCTATTTTATAAAAGATGAACTAAAAACATTGCAGTCAATATTTGCATGTCTGGGATTATCTTTTCAAATATCAATCACTTTGTTATACCTCCATGAAATGGTGTGAAACTTGGACATAAGCTACTTCAACATCAAGAAATTGCATCTGAAGAAAAAAGATTTCCTCCGTATTTTACTGATGAATGGTCTTATTTATTGGTAGTCGAAACAGCGGATTCCGTTTCACTCTTCACGATGTTTTTGTCTTTTTATTAGTTGGGTTTTAGGGGGGTTACTTCGTGACAATCTGGTGACTCAAGCCATATCCTAATGATATCTACAGTTTGTTCTTATGTTCTTATGATATGCTGTTACTCTACTGACCTATGGCAGTGGAATGTTGAGAGATCGCAAATACTTGTTACCCCGCCACGTTCTGCTCGTGCAAAGTCAGGAGCATGTTATCCAGTGATTTTCGCTGCTTCCTGTCATATTTATTTTACGTTTTTTGTTTTTTCACATAAATCAGGTCGTTGAATTTCTTGTTTGAATTGTTTTACATTTTGGCATGCATATGCCTTTACAGATAACTATACGGTGACCTGTAGTTTCTTACATCTGCGTATTTGTTCTCTGGTGGATATTTGTCTTATTGGAAAACAAACCACCTTTTCTTTTCATATGCTATTGATGAATGAACATGAAATGAAATCAGGAAAGTGTGAGTTGAATGGGGCACAAAAGCGAACGACCTTTGGCTGTCACCGGAGTAAATGTTAGATCAATAGGATTGGAAAATTTCCGATGCATCTGCTTCAAATGAGTCTGCTCGTTATGAATGGTCTTTTGCGTGTTAAGATTTTGGCAATTTCTTGGCACAGCCTTCTCAAAGACTAATTAATTATTTGATTCATTCCGTACAAACACGAAAGCACTTTTGTAAATAGATAGGAAGTCATGTTGTTTTAGGACGGTAAAAAGTATTGTATGATACATAAATTATTTATCTTTTTCTTTTCTCGTTTTGTAGATTGTGCAAAACTTGTACTCAGGGAAAAAATCGAAGGAATCAAAATTCTAAAAGTTAAAGAAAGTAGCAAGCATGAAAAAATTGACAAATCACTAGCAATAGAGTGGTTCAAAGAATTATGTGTGAAACCGTTAGAAAATTCTGAAAAAAGCGAGCGCAGTTCTTTATTTCCCTCTATTCTAGAGGCATGTAAACAAGAATATGTGGATATAAATGATCATGGCATTTATGGAGAAGATGACCTACAGCAAAAACTGAAATCTGCAATGCTCAACAATGTTTTACAATCAAAGGTAAACCAACCAAAATTAAATAGACAACAATCGGGCGAGACAAAGTCTTTAAAACGATTTCAACTTGACTGTTTACACAAACTCTGAAAGACTTGTTGCAAGAGTTATCAAGTGTTCAAAAAGCGTATGACTATATATACATATACTTCTACACCCAAGTCAGCTCTGTGTTATGATATTCTATCATATGAAGGAGTGTGGTGATGTGGATTCCTTACAGATGCCCAATATTTTACGCCGTTTCAGAGAAATTGTCATATTATACTGATAATTTCTTAGGACAGGGATTTTGTTATCACACGTTACCTAAAACATTAACCTCAGAGAAGACTTTCAAATTTGTGCTTTTTTCTCGTGCATTTCTGATGTCACAACGCTTATTTTATTACGTCCATATTGACAGGTACTTGGGGTCATGACAACTATTGTTTGTCCTACACATTTTTTTGTGTTTTTCTGTGTAGCAAAAATATACTAAAATGAACATTTGTTACTTGTTTACTATCAAACGCTAGTTTATTATCCACAGCGTGTTTTTATATATAATATTATAATAGTATGTCAACTATTCAAAGTATTTGAACATTCTCAAATAGCATGGGAATAGAATATGTAATTTTATTCGTCTTGGCATTTTGAACATTTCCCACTTATTACAATTTCATAGTATCTACAACGGTTACTGTGTAATTTGAAAATAATATCCAACGTTAAAAAGTCAGTGTCATTGGTAAACGTTGGTCTTTTGATTTCGTAAGATGATATAGTGCCTTGGTCATTACCGAAGACTTCATGTCTTTATCTTCTCTCCATTTTAACATGATAAAAAATTCTCATAGGTTTTTGTAGCAAAACCCACCCTTTTTTAGGTCCCTGAAAGTAACTCTTATAAGACCCTGTGGTTAAACAAAATACCTACTGCACATCTTGACAAGTGAGACTATTCTGCGACGTAAGTAAGGGAGTATTTTGAAAATGAATATCACTAGTAAAACTGAAAAAAAAGGATCTAGCCAAAGACAGGATGAAAACGTATATTCTTCCCATCAAAATGCAGAGAATGATTGTGTACAAAAGTGAAAATATAAACGATATTCGAGCGAAAAGAATAATATAATCTAGTAACAAGTTAAAATGAATATTCCACTTAAAACAAATCATTCTGGTCCCTTAGATAATCAAATGG